GCGCAGAAGCCCGCTCCCCGGGCCCGGGCGGCCGTGCAGCGGGCCGCGTTGGAGAGGCGCCGCCCAGCCGGAGGAGGCGCGGGGCCGGTCCCATCAGCGCGCCTGGCCGGCCCAAGGCCTTACCTGGTGGCGGTGTAGACTGGCGGCGGTGACGGAGAGGCAAGGGCGAGAGGCTTCTGCTCGCGGGCTGGACGCGGTCTCGGCAGTGGCTGGGTGTCGCGCCGCCGGGTTTTATAGGGCGCCGCCGCGGCCGCTCGAGCCATAAAAGGCAACTTTCGAAACGGCGAGCCCTGATTGGCCGCGCGCCGCTCACTCACCGGCCTCGCCGCACAGTGCAGCATTTTTTTACCCCCTCTCCCCTCCTTTTGCAAAAAAAAAAAAAGGGGGAGAGATGGACTGGAGAGCGAGAGCGAGATTGAGGAAGAGGAGGAGGGAGAGAGTTTTGGCGTTGGCCGCCCTGGGGTGCTGGGCCCGTGGGCCCGGGGTGTACCCCGCGGGCCGCCGCCCCGGTCTGGCCCCGCTTGGCCAGGCCTGCCCGCCCGGCTCTCCTTGTCCCCCACCCCGGGACCCTCGGGGTGTGGATGTCACATGAGCAGTGAGCGCCCCGTAGGCCAGGGTCAGCACGGATGTGAGGGTCCTTGGCTGCTGTGGGTGCATGTGAGCACTTGTGGGGGAAGGAGTGGTCAGGGAGTCAGGCCCCTTACCGACATTAGCTCATCTGCCCAGAAAGCCTGGGTCGGGGGGCCTCTGGCCTGGGGTGCTCAGCCTGCGAAGTAGGGGTGTTCAACTTGCTAAGTGGGGGGCATTGCTACTCAGAGACTTGTGGCTGAGGAGTATGGTGTGGCCTGGGGGAGTCAGGGGGCTTGTAGCCACTTAACAGGGGCCACAGAGCCACAGTCCCCGGGGAAAGGGCAGATCCCAGGGGCCAGTGGCTGGAAGTTCCCTGTGAAGAGGGCTCCAAGCTTCCCCTGCATCAGGCCTGGGGAGAGGAGGGCTCTGTAGGGCAGAGAAGCCGTTCCCATGGAGCCAGGCTGCCTCTGAGGGCTGCTTGGTCACACCCAGCCAAGGCCAGGCCGGGGCCGGTAGCCAGTGACCCGGGCAGCTGCCAGGCACTGTTGGGTGCAGGCAGGGAGAGCTGTTCAGCACAACTCTGGGGCCCACCATCCATCATCTGTCTGTCATGTGTAGCCACAGCTGAACTGCCCTCCTGGACCATCTGGAGGCTGCCAAGGACTGGGGAAGGACACAGTGCACCAGAGATGAGTTGGGGTGAGGGGGGCGGGGCAGCAGGGACAGTAACTGAAGGCCAGCTGCCCTCAGAGAAGACCCTCTCCTTGTCACCCTTTCCTGCCCTAGGTCTCTCCACCAAACACTGGGATGTCTGGGTGGTTCCATGCTCTGAGAGCTGCCGGTCTGGCAGCCAGCAGGGGTCAGGGTGCAGCAAATGGCAGCCCAGGGGCCGTGGGACCCCTGACGGGCATCTGGCTCAGGCTAGAGGAGCATGCACCTTCTTAGAGGTGGTGACAAGAAGCTGAATTTTCACAGGAAGGCAAAGGAGAAGGGTGATCTAGGCAGGCGGGGGCCCCTGTCCAGGGGCAGAACAGCACACAGTAGGTGCGCACTGAGTGTGTGTTGAAGCAGTGAAGGATCGGTCCATGTATGGATGCGGAAACTGCAGCCTGGGAAGAGTGCAGCGTGGTCCGGCCCATCGTAGGGAGCTGGTGGCAGAGCCCTGTGAAGGTTGCGGAGGCCACAACCAGGTGGGAAGGGTGACCGTCCCCCAGTGCGCTACAGAGCCCGCAGGCTCAGCCACACGCTGGCATTCCCAGAGAACTGCCAGGAGACAAGCCCCAGCCCCCCATCACAGCCCCGGGCCTGGGCGAACGTTCCAGCCTGTCCGCTCCCCGCCCCCGGGGGCCGGACTGCCCTGTCCCTGGTGTTGTGGCTCTTAGTCGTGGGTGTCTGGCCAGCCGCCCTGGGACCTGCCAACCCTGCGATTCAGGGGCTGGGGGGTCGACGGCTTTTGCTGCCTGTGGATGAGGGCTGCTTCTGGCTGTTCACTGAGCCTGATGGAGGGCTGGGCAGGCTGGACCAGGGCTGCAGGGCAAGGGACAGGAGACTCTGGGGTGGCTACATGGGGTGGAGAGCAGGCCTGGTCTCCAAGCAGGACCTGTGCTGCCACCTCACCCGCCCTCTTCTCAAGCAGGGGCCAGCCAAGAGGCAGGAGCATGAGCCCCACCCGACCTCGGGCTAAAACATTTCTGGCCCTCTGTCTGCAGCAGCCATTTCCTGGTGCTCTCCTATGCATCCTTCAAGGCCCATCCCAGAAGGCCCCTCCGTGGGGCCTTTAGTATGTGCAACAGACATCCTTCTCCCACTTAACCACTGCACTGGGTAGGCATTTATAACTCAGTCTCCCCCACCAGACTGTGAGCCCTTTGTCACATCCACCTCCTCCCACTGTACCCTCCCCAGGTCCCTGCTTTGTTGAGTGAATAAGTGACTGCCTGGGTGTTCTCAGCCTTCAGAAAGGACCCCAAGAAGATGGAGGAGTGGGGGTGGAGGGGGCTGGGCCGCAAGCCTGGGGGAGGGGAGGAGCCGAAGAGAGAAAGCAGGCGGAGGAGGAAAGAGGAAGTGGAGCGGCCAGAGGAAGGGGGCGTGGCCGTGCGGGAGAGGAAGTGAACAGGTTCTTCGCTTGGGAACTTTGCTCTCGCAGGGAGTTTTCGGGGCTGTCGCCAGGGCAGGCGCACAGCCCGCAGGAGCCCCGAGCCGGCTCAGCCAATGGGCGGCGATCTCACCTGCTTTTCTGGGGCTGTTTTTTTCTCTTGCGGTTCCCCCGCCCTGCAAGGCCTCCAGGCCAGGGGACACTGACAGTCCGTACCAAAGGACCCCCTCCCTCGCCCTCTTCCAGGACAGCTCCCCAGCTGCCTGGCCCTGGGCGTTGGAGCCCCACTGCTGCCCTGCCAGGCAGGGACCCCCAGCTCCACTTTTCAGAGGAAGAACCTGAGCAGGGGCTGAAGTGCAGGAGACCTTCCTGTCTGGACTGCTGGCTCCAGGAGGGCAGAGACCCCAACACAGGCAGTGCTTAGTGAGGGGGACTGAGGAATAAGGGGATGAAACATCCTGGCAAATACACCCCCTTTTTACCGATGAGGAAACTGAGGCAGGACTGGAAAAGCGCCCAGGGCCTGGAGTCCAACACAAGGACTCTAGGCACAGGGCCCCCGGAGGCCCCGCACTGCCCCGCCCTGGGTAAAGTGTCCCAGGAGTGTCTCCAGGACTGGGTCCAAAGGCTGTTCCAATTTGAATTCCTGGGCCCCACCTCCCTCCCCAGCGCTTATCTCCTGAGGCCCAGAGAGGACAGCCACCAGCCCTTGGTCACACAGCAGTGGGTCCTGAGGCCCCAAGCCTGCTCTCTCCTGCCACCTCTTTCCCTGCCTTCCTCCCCTGCTCCCAAGATGGCCTCAAGAGGAGATTCTGGACCTCGAGATTCCTGAGGTCTTGAGAGGGACTAAGTTTCCTCTGCACCTTGCCCAACTTTTCTTCAGCCTTCAGGGCAGCTCTTCGGTTGCCCTCTCCAGGAAGCCTACCATGACTTCCTCCCCTCCTCTGCCATAACAGCAGTAGCTCTCCTGGTCAGAGAGGGGGAGCAACCCAGCCAGGATTGCACAGTGAGGGTACAGCCAGGAGCCAAACCTCCTGGATCACACTGCTCCTGCACCCGACACACCAGCACCAACCAGCCAGGCATGCTTCCAGAGTGGAACAGCACCAGGCACTGTTTTGAGCAACTACCCTGAATAAAGCAGGCGTGATCCCTGAGAAAGACCTCAAACAAGAGAACAAGCTTGATGCCTATGAGAGAAAGCAGCAGTTTCTTTAGGAAGGAGGGAGCTTCTTCAAAGAAAGTCAGGGAAGGCCCTTCTGAGAAGGTGACCAGCCAGCTGAAGGGGGCCCGGAGGCGGGAGGGATGGGTTGGGCCCTGTGTGCTCTCCTGGGCAGCAGCCAGGGCCTCGGTCCCCACCCAGGCCTGGCCTGGAGCCAGAGTCTCCTTGAGGGCTTCGAGAGGCAGCCCCCAGGGCCACCGCGCCCTGGGCCTCCCCTGCTCCCTGACAGAGTCATCCACAGAGGGGGATCCCTGCCTTGGAGGAACTGGGGACTTCTGACACTTCTTGGGAGAGTTTTAAAAAGTCCTTAAAAACTACCCCCTCTCCTCCTGTCCCCCAGGGCTCTCAGAGAAAAGCCAGCCTCCCGGGAAGTTCCCTGTCCAGCTCACTTCGTTTAATTTCTCAGAAACAGAAAATAAAGTTGATTCCCTGGGCTTCCCCCCCACATGCACATCGGCCAAGCCCTTGCTTCTTACTCCCGGGCCTTCTGCTGGGACGGCTAGCTGTCCCCATTCTCCGGACAAGAAACGGAGGCCACCCAGACAGACCCTGTGCGCCGAGAGGGAGAGGACCCCTCGGGGCCTGAAGACCCTCCCAGGCAGCCTGCGGGGTGTGGGGAGGCTGGGGGCGTCCCGGCCTCACAGGCCTGCCCCGCGGCTGTGGTCCCAGGAGGTTCTTGAAGCCCACTCATCTCCTGGGCCCATGCCTGGAGCGGGTGGTGACCTGCCTGAAGTCACCTAGAGGTCAAGGCAGCCTGGGACCCCAGGCTCCTCTGGTTTTCCAGACAGGGGCCTAAGTGGGGTGAGGTCAGCAGCAACTTCAAGTTCAGGCCAAGCCGGGTTCTGGAGGCTCCTGGCCCTGACACCCCGGAGTAGGGGGGTGTTGGGAACGTGCCCAGCGGGAACGGCCCAGACAGGAGGCTGAAGTCCCATGGCATGCCACATGGACCCTGCATCTCAGGCCTCTGTCCCTGGGCTGTGAGAAAGGGCAGAGGGGCACCTGGCACCCAAGGGGCTGGGAGCAGTCAGTGACAAGGGGCCTGAAGTCCCAGGCCCGGGGCTGGGCACCGAGGGACATGGTCAGTGTCAGGGGCTCACCCCCTTCCTGGCTGGTGGCCTTCTCCTAGCCACTTGCCTCCCTGGCCCAGGGGCTCCGAAACGCCCCAGGAGTCGGGGGAGTGGAGGTGCAGAGGGGGTCGCCCCTCCTGGAGGGCCCGAGGAAGTGAAAGGGGAAGAGGAAAGCGAGGTGTTGGGAAAGGGCAGGTGGGCGGGGTGGCTGACTCACTCGGCCACGGCTCACCCACCTCAGGGCGCAGCCCGGCTCCCGGTCCCCAGG